TTGAAAAGTGGTAGTCTGCTCCATCTTCCCCCATACCTCACTGGAGTATGGTCCCTCACGTCTCCAGCTTGTGGGAATCTCGGCAATGTCCCACAGAAGCCATGGAAGTTCGAGGACATGTCCCACTGGCGATGGATGCAGTTCAGTCCAAAGGTCAGGCAGGGGTAAGCCAGATAGTGGGGCCACAGGGCGCACCCCACTCCTGGTTCTTGCCGGTCGTGAGCTCACACCCTCTTGCTTCTAAGCCGACTCATTTAAAATTTTAATAGACCATTTTATTGAGGGCTCCTACAGCTCTTATATCAATCCATACATTCTGCCATCATCCTTTTGAAAACATTTTCTTTCTACTTGAGCCCTTGGTATCAGCTCCTCTTTTTTTCCCCTTCCTTCCTCATCTTCCCACCCTCAGGAACCCTTAATAAATTATAAATTATTATTATTTTCATATCTTACACCATCCACTGTCTCCCCACATCCATGTTTCTGTTGTTCCTCATTCTGGGGGTGGGGAGGGGAGAGGGTATATGTCGATCATTGCAATCAGTTCCCCCTTTCTTCCCCCACCTTCCCCCTAGCCTCATGGTATTACTACTCCCATTATTGTTCCTGAGGGGGTTATCTGTCCTGGATTCCCTGTGTTTTGAGCTCTTATCTGTACCAGTGTACATGCTCTGGTCTACCCGGATTTGTAAGGCAGAATTGGGGTCCTGATAGTGTGGGGCAGGAAGCATTAAAGAACTCGAGGGATGTTTTATGTTTCATCAGTGTTATATTGCACCTTGGCTAGCTCATCCCTTCCTTGTGACCTTTCTGTGAGGGGATGTCCAATTGTCTAGAGACGGGCTTTGGGTCTCCATTCCACACACACCCCCAAACTCCCCCAGCCCAGCCCCCCCCCCACCCCGCCCCCGGAGTTCACATGGATATGATGGTTTGTTTGGCCTCTTCTGGTGCCTGATACCTGATGCCGTTAACACCTTGAGATCCCACAGGCTGGTGTGCTTCTTTCAGCAGACTCATTTTATACGCAGCAGAACGGCATTACAGGGAATCCTGTTCACTACTCACAGGTGAACCTTAACAGTCTCTTCTCCCCACCTTCTAACCAGGCCCCTGCAGGGAAAGGTCATTTGGTAAGGGTTACATGGTGCAATCAAATATCACCCAAAAGTAATAATCTACTGGCCACCCATGAACTGTATCTTATTAATGCACAGATGACCTGGACCTCTAGCAAGATGTTTCCAAGTGGGCATTGGCCTCTTACTAATCTTCAGCAGCCAGGTTTTTTCTCAAGTTACTCTAGAAAGTTCTTTCTCCTTTCAGCTATAGGATATAATTCCTTAAAGCCACTTTAAGTTATAGTAAGTAAGATAATCATTAAACCAAGAGTGTGGTCAATTCACATCCTCCATTAAGGTCAGAACTCAATCTCATCCCACTCCAGTTTGTTAGTAGATAATGCCCTCCAACGCAGGACCACAGCCACCGGCAAAGGACATGCAGAATATTACATAGCACATAGGGGTTATGGCTGGAAGGACCACGGTAATCGAGTATAACTCAGACACTTTCAAGTTATAGAAAAAAGTTATGTGAGAATAACTTTGACTTGCTTTCTGAGGGCAACCCTGAAGTTTTAATTAACCAGCATGATAGTCCACCACTGTCTTCAGAGCAGATAATTATTGGATATTGATTAAGCTTATTTATATTTGATCATGTATATTTCCAGAATTCTGGCCACATATATAGACTGACTTTACAGGCAAAGATTTAGAAATGATGACATTATTGGGAATTTTGACTGTATCATGACCCCTGCCTCATGTTCAATCAACCAACATTGATGCAACACTGTCAATACCTAAATACAATGAAGGTTATTTTACATTCAACCTTCTCCCCTTATATGCATACCCCTCCCCAGCAAATTAAGCTCAATCACCCCTCAGTTCCCTCAACACTCATTATTACAACCTTCTATAAACAATTCTGGCTTTTACAACTGTACTATTTTTAAAATAGGTTGAGCTCTCACACAGCTTTTCAAGATCTTGTACACTAGAGTGCTTATGTTGGGCGTAGTTCGAAACCATGGGCAGCTCTGCAGGACCATGACTGGACTTTCTACTCCAGCGCTCTCTCTCTCTCTCTCTCTCTCTCTCTCTCTCTTCCCATCTAGGGAAACCTACAGGGGGTAGCTGACTGGAGGGCAGTTAGTGAGTGAAAGGCTACAGGGGCATGATTTACCAGCTCCATCCTTCAACCATTCGCACTCCATTCCCCAGCCCCCATCAGGAATTCACAGAGGCAGCAGTGCCATCTGCTGGTAGGGAGGGCACAGCTTGCTTTCTGGAAGCCTATGGGTAAAGGGAATTAAAGACCTGAAAGGAAAACAGCGTAGATTTCTGTCTTTTGTGAGCCTTTCTTTTCTGGAGACGGATAGTTACAACCTGAGACTTGCAACCTCCACAGGAGCCTCCATTGTGCGAATGGCAGGTCGTTGGAAGCCATAGAAAGCAAAGCCAGACTAGCCAATAAGGAGGCAGCTCTGCCTGGAAATGCCTCTTCAATGTTCCAAATGCAAGCAGCAGAGCTTCATTGAATTAAACATTTCCTGGCTCTCCTTTCCCTGCGGCTTCAGTATCAGATAAACGCACCCCCGCCCCACCTGTGGCAAAGCTAACAGATCTATCTTAAAGCAAGCGCCCTAAAGGAGGTGCTCAGACTCCTCTCAAAGTGAAGGCGCTTATGTTTACACAATGTGACACATCTCTCTCAAAGGACATCACAGCTTAGGCACGCAGGTTGGGCTCTAATCTCTTTCATTCGCTCTCCATCCTCTCTGTCCCTGACCCAAGGGGCAGAAATGATAGAAAAGAAGTGATTCTGTTGTTGCTTTGCAAGTAATTGAATCAGCGAATAAAACCCTGTGCTATAGGTCACTGATAGATGTTGGGTCCCTCCAGATGAACTAAGCCTGCCAATCTCCCTATCCCCGCCCCCACCTCCCATGCTCAACCCAATCAGAATTTTTCAACTGTCTCAAAACCAGGGGTGGCACAGGCTAATTTTAAGCATAAGGGCAGCGTGCCTTTTGTGCAGTTTATGTAACAGAAATGATGTTTTTCTTTAAACCCAACAACCTATAACTTTTCAAACGATCACACTTCTTTCAACCTTCAGAATCCCTTCCCCCACCACCAATACCAATTTCTCAAAAATTCAGCAAAAATGTAAGTAATGCCCACTAATTTGCTTTGTGTACTAAACTATAAATTCACAATTTATATTTCACCGTACTGGGGATCTGTGCCATATTACCAGAGCTTCCCAGGCACCTTCTCTGTCTCTTTACTTGATTCCCTCCAGAAAACCCCACAGCAAAAGTTTGATTCGCAGCAGCTAAACAAACATTGGATTTTTATCTCCCTAACAAATATAAGTGCTTCCTCTAAAATTTGTTTTAAATTGTCAAGTTAATTGATTTCCTATCAACTGTACATGTTTTACCAGAAAAGTGTGGGTTAGGTATTAGACAATTGCATTGTTTTCTGAAAGAAACATATGGGCAATTTTGTAGGGAAAAGGTCAGAGTAACAAAAGGGGTTTCAAAAGGTATCCCTTACCTATCTCTAAGGAAGCAGGTAAAGAAAGATCTTTGTCCATTTCATGCCAGAGTAAATTCAGAGTAGATTACATCAAAACTCCAGAATACAATAACAGTTTTCTAATGGCAGTTAGTAGAACAGTTTCTTACCTAGCACGTTACCAGATACATGCAACAAATTGCCAAATTACTTAACTAGTGGAAAACTGAAGGGACTTTTTATGGTTTTGCTACAAGGATGCATAGCATGCCATTGCTATTGTAGGTCTGGGGAAATAGAGGAAAGAGAGGTAGCAGATACTTTGCACCGGTTTAATCTGCTCTCAAGTTCTACCACCTTTTTAAAGAATGGTTTAAGGGATATTCCCCCCACTCCCCTTTAGGCCTCCAAATGCGCTCCTGTAAACCCACACTTTCCAGAGAATTGATGAGGGCTGAGGAGGTCTAATTTAGACCCTGTCTTCTCTCTACCTACAGCCCAATAACATACCCAAAAATAAGTTATTACTCGCTTGGGCAGCCCCAGAAACATCTCAGTTTAAAGAAGGCACCCTCCCCTGCAAACAAACAAACGTCTTCTTGAATCAGGATGATGATGCCCTAGTCTGCAGTTCACTGCAGGCATTTCCCTTAACTGTCATCAGTTAAGATGCATGTGTAATTCTTTGGGAGTAGCCTCTCCCTTAGACCAGCCGTCAGCGCATAGCAGCTTAAAAATTTTAAACCCTTGAATAAATCTCTGGATTCCTTCGGCAGACTCGGAGCCTCGGATTTCGGCGCACTCTGGGGCCAGGAGGGAGCTCGCGAGCTCGCCAGCCCGTCCGGCGCGCCCAGAGCCTCCCCGGGCTGCAGCCGGCTCGCCCCGCCGGTCCTGCCGCCCCCACCCGCCCGCGCCCAGGCGGGGGGCGCCGCGGCACGGCCAGCGGACTGGCTTGGGTCCCGAGGCTCCAGAGGTTCGAGTCCCGAGAGCTTGGCCAAAGTGACGCTAAATTTTCTCCTTCCTTTTCCCGAAAGACAGATCCCGCGGCAATGAAGCTGTGGCGCCCGGGTCCGGAGCCGCAACGCCCCCGCCTCATCACTAGCACCCTTTACCTGGGGAGAGGGCAGATGCCAGCATCCCTCCCGGAGGGAAACAAAGGCGGAGGCCAGGCTGTCAGGTGGGCACCTCCCCTCGAGGGGACCCGGACCCCCGGAGGGGCCGACAGGGAGGTGTATAAGGGGGCAAGAAAAGGGAAACCAAGGCACCCGGCGGTGCTAGAACCTGGATCTGCGTCCACCCCAGAAGCGGAACTCTGGGGGCGAGCAGACCCTAGACTACACCCCAGCCCGCCGAGCCGGACCCGGGCGTGGGGGGTCCAGGCGGGCAGCCCCGCGCGCCGCTTACCTCGGGAGAAGCGCTCTGGCTCCCTCCGACAGCTCCGGAGAAAGCCCTGTCGCTCGCGCACGCGCACTAGCGCTCTCGCGCCTTCGCCCCTCCGGCCCCCGCGCGCGCCCCTCCGGCCGGGCTCCGGCCCGCCCCAGTCCTGTCCGTCAGCGTCCGCGAAAGCCAATCCGCTCGCGCAGGAGGCCCAGCGCCAGTCACGTGGCCACGGCAGCCAATCATCAAATTGCCCTCGGCAGAGCGCCTCCGATGTCCCAGGGGGTTCGGTTGCTACCTCGCGGAGAGGGTGCCAGGCGAGCACAAAAGAGAGTCTCTGTGTTCGCGGACTCAGAGATGGTGGGCTGGTCAACTATTGAGTCTGCTAAAATCTAAATCCTAGTATGAATAGGAACCACCTGGGTAATTTGTTAAGCTGTGGATTCAGATCCAGTGAGTTTGGGATAGAGACCTGAGATTCTGCCTTTCTAACAAGCTCCCTGGTGGTGATGCTATGCCGGGTCCAAGGACCACCTCTGAGGAGCTTCTAAGGAGCTCTGTCAGAAAGCGATGGTTGTGCACCTGCCTCCATGCTATTTGAAGTTTTGAGACCCCCCTTCCTTCCTCCAATGATGTAGAGCACTCCAGGGATTAGCTAAGCATGTGGTGTCCTGTTGACCCTCATAGTGTGGGCACTGGGGGAGGGAGGGAGTTTTTAACCCCACATCACCCACCCTTAGGCTAAGGGGCTGCGTATGTCAACTTGGGGCTGAAGTGTGGAGATTAGAAACAGAGTCTGAAGAATCTTAAAAGATGGCTGGACTGCACACCAACCTGTGTGATCACCAAGGGATCAGTGATCAGGCATCATCAGAACAAAACATCATACCATTGTTCAATGAGGGAGAGTGCGGAGTGGAGCTCCAAAGCCCGTCTGTAGGCCACTGGACATCCCCTTACGGAAGGGTTGCGGGGAGGAGAGGAGTCAGTCAGGTTGCAGTGTAGTAATGATGAAACATACACCTTTCCTCTAGTTCCTAAATGCTTCCTCCTCCCCCACTGTCATGATCCCTATTCTACCTTACAAATCTGGCAAGACCAGAGGTTGTACACTAGTACAGATAGGAACTGGAGACACAGGGAATCCAGGGCAGATGATCCCTTTAGGACCAATGGCGAGAGTGGACAGAGGGTGGGGTGGAAAGGGAGAACCGATTACAAGGATCTACATATAACCTCCTCCCTGGGGGATGGACAACAGAAAAGCGGGTGAAGGGAGACATCAGACAGTGCAAGATATGACAAAATAATAATTTACAAATTATCTAGGGTTCATGGGTGGGGGAGAAGGAGGGAGGGGGAAAATGAGGAGCTGGTGCCAGGGGCTTAAGTGGAGAGCAAATGTTTTGAGAATGATGAGGGCAATGAATGTACACATGTGCTTTACATAATTGATGTATGTATGGGTTGGGTAAGAGTTGTATGAGCCCTAATAAAATGATTTTGTTTTAAAAAAAATAGATGACTGGACTGCGCCTGCTCTAAAATATTGGGCATGTGTTTCTGAGTGGCAGCTGTGCCAGACTTTGGGTCATGAGTGCCTCCTACTTCATAGAAACCAATGTCAAAGAACTCCATGGGCACCCTCAAGAAGCAGAGTATAGGAAAAACAGGCAGGGAGTTAGTTAATGGCTGCTACAGTAGCCAGGGAAGTTGTAAAGTAACCTGCTTTTGAAGACTTAAGCATTCCCCCCCACCACCACCACCAAAAATAAAAATATTATTCTATCAGTAATTCTAGAGTCTGGAAATCAGAAAGCCCATTGCCTCCGCCATCTCTCAAACTTGGGAAAGCCCTAAATATTCACAGACTGGCCAGCTAGAGCCTTTGTTGTTCAAGGTAGCAAGGCTCCATTATCCAATATTGTACCAATGTGGCTCAAGAGGCTAAGTGCTAAATTCTCCCAAACCTCCTTGCAGTAGCTCTTCAGAACAGGTGGTATGACGGACCATTGCACTGCTGCAAGCAGTTGCTCTCACTATTCATCAAACACTGAGTCATGGTGGCGCAACAGGTTAAGTATCGTGCTGCCAATTGAAAGAGCTTTGGCCTGAACCCCCCAGCGGCTCCAAAGAAACAGGAGGTTGTTACTCTCATAAAGATCCAGTCTAGCAAGCCAATGGCACAGCTCCCCCCTGTCCCTATACGCTTGCTATGAGCCAGAATCCGCTTGATTGCAACAGTTTCTATTTTTTTTCTTTCCATTAGTCAAGGTGACTAAACTGCCACTCAGTGAAAACTTCATCCTGTCAGTGTGTTTTGGACTTCTCTGATTTCCCAGTCTTAGAACGAATGCCCAGTTAGTAGCCTCGGACATTCCTCATCACTTTGGCCCCTACTGGAGCTGGCACAGTACAAAATTCAGTTTCAGGGAACACATTAAATCTAGCACAGCACCGGATCTGGTTACAGCAGGAATAAAGAAATGCATAACCAAGAAAAATGCCTTTGATGCCCCAAAGAAAAATTCCTGTGTTACCATTAACCCCAAGAAGCCTAGGTGGCACAGTGGGGAAGTGCTTGGCTGGGAACCAAAAGATTTTCAGCAATTTGAAACCACCAGCCACCCTGCAGGGTTTCGGTGTGGCAGATTGTAGCCCTGGAAACCTGATATTGCAGTTCTACTTTGTCTTATGGGGTCGCTATGAATTGAAATGTGGATCGATCATTTAAGAAAACCTCATTAAATTTAGGTTTGTCATTAAACCAGCAAATTTGGGTTTATCTTTGGGGGACCTATGTGTTTGTTAGAGATTCTGATCACGGTGAGGAGTAGTGAGGTAGGTAGTTTATTTTGCCAGCCTGGCAGATAAACACGTGGGGTTAATTGAAGGGCGGAAAGATAAATGAACCTCGCATTTCCAGTTCTCGGGTCTCTTGCTCTGTGTTGGTCAGATCAAGGTGCAGCTGCCTTAGCCAGTTCCCTGCTTCAGCTTGCAAAGCTCACCTCCTGCAGGACATCCCCAAGGAGAAGCCGCATGGGCCTACCCCTATGCATCCCTGGGTGCTGAAGCAGCCATGTGGAGACCCTGCTGAGATGCTTACACATTCACTGACTTGACTTTCCTCCTGTAATCAGTGTCATTGCATGTGTTTTGTGAGATGGAGAAGGATTTGTGGATTGGTGTCAGACATATGGGTTAATGTTGGACTTGGGCAGCACTGGGTTGGGATATTTTCTTGATGTGCACTTAACCTTTATATAAAACTCTTTCTTACACATATGAGTTTCTGTGGATTTGTTTCTCTAAAATACCCAGACTAACATAAGTAGAATCTGAGCAACTAGACAATTAAAAAGTTCCATGGGTGATTTTCTATCCAGCAGATTTGAAAATACCTGCATAAGTTGCTAGATCTAAGGAGTCATTCTTTAATAAAGAAAAAGTATTCTGGAAGACAAGTCACTAATGACCTGCAAGACAATTCACTGATAAAAACAGGAAAATTCCTACATGATTTTTGAGAATAGATAAGAAAAGCCACACAAAAAACCCAAAACACACACATAGGTAATACATATACCAAAGACATTTTAGTGGAACAAATTGAAAAGCCAGGCCCACAACTCAATTTAATTCCCAATAGTCAGCTAAATGATTTCAAAAAGACCTATTACCTTTGTGAGCCATGCCAAGCTGATCAGCCTCTTCCTAAAAGCAAACTTCTATTTGAGTATTACTAGCAGGCATTCTCTCAGGCTTTCCCAGAGCATGCAACAGAATCAGCTGGCATACTTGTTAAAAAACAGATTCCCAGGGCCCATCCTAGAGCCGTCTGAAGTGACTCTGGTGTAACAATTGTGAAGTCCATCCACACTGGTTAAATGTGATTCCAGATTGTGCGTCCTGAGAGACAGTATCTACATACAGGCAAACCCTCAATAAAATAGCTATGCTATTTGTTTAGTTTGTTATGCTAGCCAAATACAGGAATGCAGGCCAAGTTCAAGAATTCCAACATATTCTCAATTCTCTTTTTTTGGCATTTTATGAAATTGTCATAAGAAAAAGATGAGACTTTCTATGCCTGTAAAGAGTTACAGCCTCAGAAACCCACAGGAGCAGTTCTACCCTGTCCTATAGGGTTGCTATGAGTTGACATTTATTATATATATTTAGTATATAATAATATATATTAAGTTAATTTATTAATATATATTATATGGATTTAAAGATATCAATGTGGACCTTGTAAAGCTGTTGGTGCCCAGTGGTTTTCGGTTTGCTTTGTGCTTAATGGAATCATGGTTAATGGAGTGGGGTGTGCCTCACCTTCTAAATGAATAAGTGAGGTCTCCTCTGAACAATCTGCCAACAACGGCCATCTTTCTCTAAAGGGACTTTATTTGTGACGCCAAGAAAGATGGAAGCCCAACGTGTGAACCTGCAAACTAGCTTCCCTCCTGCTCTACACTGCTAAAAATAGATTTCACAGCACTCAAATGGAGGAGAAGTGTTTCTCGCTGTGTAAATGTGTAGCTCTGTCTATAGGGTAAAATAAGGACAGTTCTCACTATAGTTAACCAGCATGAGTAATGTGATTTTTTAACTGGGTTTTTTTTATGGATGTCATCATTATAAAGCATGGCAACAGGAAACAAAGAGGTGCTAACATCAGGATACCTATTTGTAAAAAGAACATACAGACCACAGTTCGTTATTCTGTTTCTCACTGTACTGCCTCACATTCATAACTTGGGTCTTCTCTCTCACGCAATGGCTATGTCAGGTTGTGATGTAAATCATGAGTTGTCTAAAGGATTACCCCCATTCCACCCCATTCCTGAAATTGTTCAACAAGTGGTTTGGGTATATTTGGGGGGAAAGGAAGGAAGGAAGGAAGGAAGGAAGGAAGGAAGGAAGGAAGAAAAGAAAGAGATAAGATAGAAACACCCCACCTATTTGCTGTCCCCAACAGCCCATCTATTGACCCAATATGAGTACCTTGTAGATTCCGTTATACCTGCTAATTACATTTTTATATCTCTAGCAATAAATAGCTTCTCTAA